TCTGCTGTTCTCCTTTTTAGTCATCACCTACCAGTGCAGTTGTCCATGCAGCCCTTGGCAAGCAGATGATTTTTAGGTTACTGGTCTAGGTCCTAATAGCACTTTTAAATATTCAAATTGGTTGTGCCATGCAGATAGCTGACAGTCTTCAGTTCCATTTGTCTCCTTATTCACTGTTTTCATTCAGGTATTTTGTCTACTTTTGTATCCTTCCTTTCAAAGCTCAGAGCTCCAGGATTACCTTATGTATCCATGTCAACTGGTTTATCCTTTCTGTGTTGAAGAGGGTCTCTGTAGCTTGTCTGTCTATTCTGCCATTTTACCAGGAAGTAGAGTAAAATAATTTATAATTTTCCAACCCAGATAACTATTTTCTCCAGTCTCTTGCCCATACATCCAAAGGCATGGTCAAGGATTTCATATTTCATTTCTACCTTATTTTGTGCCTAAGGCAGGAATGGCTGTTTGTTTACATAAGTTTTGTTATTGTTACTAGTAACATCAGATCTCTCTTTCTGTCATGCAACTTTGGAATAGGTTTTCTGGCTTTGAATGCCCAGCCCACTGCCATCAAGTTATTTCTGACCCACAATGACCCCCATTGGGTTTCTGAGTTGGTAATCTTTACCGAAAGCAGATTGCCCCATCTTCCTTCCGTGGAGAGGCTGGTAGATTTGAACCACCAACTGCACCACCATCTCTTTTTGAATGCCCAAGGACACTTAAAAATAGTTATAGTTAAAAAATTATTAGACATTGCCTTCCAAAACTCAAATATACCCTTTAGAGACACAAAACATAAGTGCTTTCTTCTTAAAGATCTCTCTCAACAGTTAAAATTATTTTATTGAATAAAAGAGTTAGTTATTTAAAAACTATTATGGGGGCACCTGTGGCATTTGGAGATGGATTTGGATTTGAGATCTATTACCAGAGAATTCTGTTGTGACTGATAAAAACAACAGTTAACATTTCTTGAATCTTACTACATGCTAGATCCTAAGTCCTTTACATAAATTACATCTTTTAACTTACATAGCAAATCAACAGAAGGAGTGTAGTAGACTGGCTAGTTGGTCATCACACTTGTCCCCCTTCTCCTGTGGACATACAGTTAGGTTGCTTTTTTCAGCCTCTCCTGCAAGTCATATGTGGCCATGGGACTGAGGTCTGGCCAATGGAATGTGGAGAAAAATAAGGAAGTGCCTTCCTGGCATGGACCATAAATGTGTACACTATCTCCCATGCTTTCTCACTGCTTGTATTTACAGAGTGGAAGGCAGAGCTATAAGATGGAAGGGGCCAGTAATACTGAATCACTGCACAGAAGGCCACCTCAAAACACACAGATTGAACCGTTACATGGGCAAAAAATAAATTTCTGTTGGGATTGTTATAGCAGCTAGACTGTATAAAATGTACTTTTATGAGCACAGAGAGGTTAAGTAAGCTGCTATGATCACATAGCTAGTAAGTGATAGAGCCTGGATTTGAATCCATGTTAGTAATTTCTATTTTATGCTGATCTCTTTTCACACATTCATATTTATCATATATAACAAACTGCTCCTATACCTGATTTCCTGTATTTGAGGAAGTTCCCTCTAATAAAGAATTTTATTTCTATATCTCTTATTAACCACATAAGAGGAAGACTAGCAAGTTTGCAGGATATATCTATTACCTTTTGAAAATTTATTCAGAGGTTCTTTAGTAGTTATATAATGCTTCATAACAAATTACCCCAAAATCTTAAAGTTTAAAATAGCAAGCATTTTTTTTATCTCTCACAGTTTTGGTGGGCCAGGAATCAGGAGGGCTAAGCTGGGTGGTTCTGGCTCAGGGTCTCATGAAGTTGCAGTCAAGATGCTGGCTGGGCTGCAGTCATCTGAAGGCCTGACTGGAGCTGGAGTATTTATTTCCAAGGGGACTCATTCAATGGACAGCAAGTTGGTTTGGTTATTGGCAGGAGACCTCAGTTCCTCCACACTGGACTGTGTGACTAGCCTCACAACAAGGTGGTTTGCTTTGCGCCAAGAGCAAGTAATTCCAGAAACAAAATCAAATATCTTTTATGACTAGTCTCAGAAGTCACATACCTTTCCTCCTATAATATCCTATTGATCACATAACCAAAAAATACCAACCCAATTGCCATCAAGTTGATTCTGACTCACAGTGACCCCATGTGTTTCAGAACACAACTGTTTTCCATTGGATTTTCAATGGTTATGATCTCACAGAAGCAGATCACCAGGCTTATCTTTTCCAAGGTGACTCTGGGTGGATTTGAATCACCAACCTTCTAGTTAGTAGCTGAATGTTTAACCATCTGTACCACCCAGGGAATCCTATTGATCACAATACCATGACAGATACCATCACCGGAAGAGTCCCTTTGGAAGCTAGCTATCTCAAGGGCTGATTCAATTACCCAAATACATATTTCAGTGTGGCATAGTGCCTAAGGCATTTGACTGCTAACCAGAAGGCTGGCCGGCTCAAACCCACCAGCTACTCCTTTGAAGGAAGATTGGGCAATCTACTTCCATAGAAATATGGTCCAAGAAACCCAGGGAGGGGTCGCTATGAGTCCGAACTGACTTGACGGCAGTGAGTTTTGGCACTAAAGACAAAGCAGTGAATAAGAGAGACAAAGGCCTTATTTTTATGAAGCAAACATTCTAGTGGAGGGCAGAAAGGCAATAGATTTAATAAATAAGTAAACTGTATAGTATGTCAGAAAGTAGTAAGTGCTATGGAGAAAAGTGAAGCAGGATAAAGGGAGGGAAAGTACTGGAGGTGGGGACTCGCTATGATTTTAAATGAATGATCTAGGTAGGCCTTACTGAGAAGGTCTGAAGGAGGCAAGGCAACATGCCATGTGAGTTTACGGAGGAGTAGTATTCCAGGCATTGGGAGGAGCAACTGCAAAGGCTCTGAGGGGCGAGTGTGCCTGCCATCTCAAAGGATGAACAAGGTAGTGAAGGCATCTGTAGGAAGGAAACAAGCAGAGAGAAGTAGGAGATGAGATCAGATAAGTAACAGTGAGGGGGAGCAGAGACTGTGTAGGACCATATAGACTCTTATAAGGCTCTTTCACAAATGGGAAGCCATTTCATTCAGCAGACAAATGATATGATCTGATGTAACATTTTTAATTCTCACTCTGGTGCCTGATATCAGAATAAACAGTCCAAAGATGAAAGTGGGGAAACAAATTAGGAGGTTCTTGCAGAAATCTAGACAGAAGATAATGGTGGCTCACTTTAGGGTATTATCAGTGAAAGTGGTGAGAAGTCAGATTCTAGACTTAGTTTGCATGTTTTCTAGCATGATTAACTCCCCATTCTAGGCCATAATTTAGGAGGAACAGCTTTTTTTTTTTTTTTTAAAAAAAAAAAGATCCCAGAGCTGTGGCTATCAAATGGTGCTCTAGGGAACCCTGCTCGTTCTGAGAAGTTCATAAAGATTTGCACTAGCAGCAATGAGATGGGACAGATGTGTGAAGATTCATGCCCTCTAGCCCCAGTTTTATAGGGACAGCTCTGTGCTGACACACTTCAGAACATGGGGCAGGAGAGACTTTCTTAAGCAAGACCAGAAGCCACAATATACTAAAGGGAAAGACAGACCATCCATCTGGCCATGCATACGAATTAAACAAACAAAAATATATGAAAAAACATCATTTATAAAATCAAAGGCAAACTACAGATTAGGAAAACATATTTGCAGCACAAATAACCAAGTTTATTTAATATTCCTAATATAAAAAAAAGAAGCTCTGGTGGTGTAGTGCCTAAGGCATTTGACTGCTAACCAGACGGTTGGGGGTTCAAACCCACCAGCCACTCTGCAGAAGGAAGACCAGACAATCTACTTCCGTAAAGATTTACCACCTCGGAAACCCAAAGGGGGTTGCTATGAGTTGGAATTGACTTGATGGCAGTGGGTTGGTTTTCTTAAATATAAAAATACTCTTATAACTTCTCTGATCAGGATTACAATAGAAGGTCCTGGATAGAGTGGGAGAAAAACATGGCACGAAATTCAAAATTGTAAAAAAGGCAAGACTTACTGGTCTTACAGAGACTAGTGGAACCCCTGAGACTATGGCCTTTAGACATCCTTCAAATCTAGAACTGAACCCCCACCGAAGACCACCTTTCAGTCAAACAATAGGCCTATAAAGTGAATAATAACACTCGTGAGGAACCTACTCCTCAGTACTGTCAACCATATGAGACCTAAAGGGCAGTATTTGTCCAAAAGAAAGCCCAGAATGAAGGAAGGGACAGGAAAGAAGGACAAATGAAAATGGAACATAGGGAGGAAGTGGGAAGAGTGCTGTTACATTGAGGGGATTATCATGAAACAAAATGTGTATCAACTATTGACTAGTAAACTATCACCCAAACCACATTTTTTTTTTTTTAAAGAAATAACATAGCACAAACCCCACTGGTTGTTTAATTTTCTATTAGTTTCATCAGTCAATCTGAGCTTCCACTAATTAATCTGCTTTGTGACACCAGATGCCTATGGGCATTTTGAAAATTTAATTGTGTAATATAACTGCTTGGAGTAATATTTCAAAATCAATAAAGCAAGAAAACAATCCCTATATAAACAAAGGAGATGAGACCCCCTAAAAAAAAAAAAAAAAATCAAAATCCTCTTATAAATTCATAAAACAACCAAGTAGAAAATGGACAAATAATATTTTCAAATTGAGCCTGATAATAAACCTCCTTTGGTAGATTGTTGTGAGGAGAAAGTAACAACATAAATGAAGTGTTTAATAAATGACACCATGGCTACCACCATTACGACTGTCATCACCATCATCACCATCATCAGCACTACCAGCAGCTACTTCATATCATTACAGGTTAAGAGACATTAGCGATGCAAACTTGAGTCAACCCTGAATGCCAATTTCAACACAGCTTCCTTCAAAGAAAGTTCTTCTCTGAGAGTGAACAATTATGTTTTACCTTTTCATGATTTTCTATGAGGATCTCAATAACAATGTTCTGGAATTTGATATCCATGATGGCTGCTACAGTTTCTTCCTGAGGCCGCAGCAAGGTAGGTCCAAACACCACGCCAAGGTTTGCCACCGTCATCAAATTCTGCTTGTGGTTATTAGCAACACTGGGAGGAAGGAAAAGAAAGGGAAAGTGTAATAGACAACTGACTTCCTACACCCTTCTTGCCTCCAAACTCCTCATGTGGAAAAAGCCGCATTGAGACCATTCTACAACTACAGGTAATGCTAATCCCTCTTGGTTATAACTTTTCCACTTGCTTGCTGCTTAAGCCACCGTAATCATTAGCATTCACAGTAGTGCAAATATAACAACTCTTGACAGCTTTAATACATTTGCAAACATAGGCACAACACAGACTTAATTTTTAAAATGGGTAGATGTGAATCTTTAAAACGAAGTCAGGAAATTCAGCACTTTAGGCTCAAAGTATTAAAGCTCTATATTAAACATGTAGCTCACATTGAGCAAGGCATGTGCCATAAGCAGAAATAAAATGGACTACTGTATATCCATATAGATGGCTGTGTTTCTATCACCACTTAAAGTCTAAGGAACACCAGCATGAGCAGTAGCTGGTACTAATTTTCTAAATGCATATGCATATTTTTAGATAAACATCTAGTCAAAACATGTACCTGGACCCTAAGCCCAGGCTATACTGATCAAGCTATAAAATTCAATTGTTCATCTGTAAGCCTTGCATATAAAAACATACAAATTATCTATAGGCAACAACAAAAAAATTGTAAGTTTAAGGCCATTCATTATTGTTAAGAAAATTCCCCAAGTCACCTGTTAGAAGAAGGAAGCTATTCATGACTAACCTGAAGCTACTGAGAAATCAGGCAGAGAAGGGCAGTTTGCACAGAACTACCTCCCTAGCATTTAGTGCTATTTATATTGGGTATTTTTTTTCATGATTCTATAAATGCCTGCACTGTTTTCTTGCATACCTCCATTTTGTAGTAGAAAAAGAGGTTCTACTGCCTTAAATGCTAAAATATTTTATTGAAATACTACATCAAATTTTATCAGAAATTTTGTATTTTTCTAAAATTTTATAGGGCTATGAGTTTAATTTGACAAAAACTTTCTTTTGGAAAGAGTGGAGTATGGCTAGGTTTATGTATTTTTCTAAAATTTTCTAGGGCTATGAGTTTAATTTGATAAAAACTTTCTCTTCTGGAAAGAGTAGAGTATAGCTAGGTTTATGAAACTTTAACTGTGGTCCAACCCAGTTAGGAAGAGAATTTGCTTTTGACTGCTAAGCAACACCTGCAAGGAGAGTACCACCAATCTCCTGGTCCACATTAGAATATTAGTTTAAAACAAATACAAAAACAAAAACAAGTCCTTAGTTCTATCTAAATCTCCTCATTTTACTCAGAGTTTTCATTCTATCCAGAAGTGCATGATGTTCCCAGTCTGAAAGTATTAATGGAGATGGTCAAGTTCTTTCTGGCAAGGAGAAGAGCTTTTGGTTCTGTGCCTCAGTCAACCAGCAAGTATGCCTATTTACATGTTGCTTTTAACATCACCACTGTCCACATCAGCTCCTGTGTGCGGTAAGTGAATGCCATGCCCTTCTACTTCCTCTCCCACATGGGTTAAGTCAGTATACTTACCCCCTTCTTGTCAAAAAAGTCCCTTGTGCAAATGAATCAACGGGCTATTTATGTATGAACCAAAACCAAATTAAACTCACTGCTGTCGAGTCAATTCTAACTCATAGTGACTCTACAGGACAGAGTAGAACAGCCCCATAGGATTTCCAAGGCTGTAAATCTTTATGGGCGTAGACTGCCACATCCTTCTGCGGAATGGCTGGTGGGTTTGAACCATCAACCTTTTCGTTAGCAGCTGAAAGCTTTAACTGCTCTGCTACCAGGGCTTCCTTTTATGTATGGAAGCATCTTTAGATTGTAGACAAATAGAAAAATACATAGTTTAGATGATGATCAGTTTTCATCATCATGATCCTCAATGCTACACCTGATTAAGGGAAGAGTTTCCTACCTGGGCTACCTGACTCTAGAATGTTGTGTTTCAGCTTACTGCTGTCCACCCCTCAAATTACTGCCTAAAACTCAGATCTGATCTTGTCATTCCTCTGCTGAAAACTACAATAATCCTACATGCTATTCCGTTGTTTGACAAGAACATAGTGACACAGTACATGTCAAGTTTTCAACAATGCTTCTATTGATTAAGGAGCTCTGATGGTGTTGTGGTGGAAGCATTGGGCTGCTAACCAAAAGGTCAGCAGTTCGAACCCACCAGCCACTCTGTGGGAGAAAGATGAGGTAGTCTGTTTCTGTAAAGATTTATAATCTTGGAAACCCTATGAGGCAGTTCTATCATGTTATAGGGTGGCTATGAATTGGAATCAACTTGACGGTGGTGGGTTTTTAGTCCATTGTTTAAATATTCTTATGATGACGTTAAAGCTTTGGTGGGCCCTATTGTTTTTGATATAAAGTCCACATTTACAATATAACACACCGTTTTCCAACCTCACCTCAAAGTCCTCTTCTGCCACCTGCCAAATTTGGTGTCCCTGAGCATGTCGCTCATGTGTCTAGGCTCTGAGTTCCTTGTATTGAAAAAGAAAAAGCAGGGAGGACAATATACCTGCTTCATTAGGTTGTTGGGCAGATTTAATGTAACAACGTGGGAAGTGTAGTAATTATTACAGTAATATTTCATTATCCATTCTCTTTCCACTTCCACACCTTTCTGCCTTTATACATGCCATTCTCTCTGCCTAGAACGTTCTTACTTTTCTTGTTTGCTTGGTAAATTGATGATCTGAAAAGCCCAGCTCAAACGCTCTCTCTTTTTTCTGCCATGTCTCTCATCTTTCCTCAGCTTCCACCCCTTGTTCTGGTTTCCTAGTGCTGCTCTGACAAGAATATACCACAAATGAGATGGCCTTAACAAACAGGAGTTTATTCTCTCACAGTTTGAGGCTTTAAGTCCAAGTTCAAAGTGCCAGGCTCTAACTTATCTCCAAAATCTACAGAAAACTTCAACACCTCAACACCAAAAAGACAAATAATCCAATTCACAAATGGGCAAAAGACTTGAACAGACACCTCACCAAAAAAGATATACAGGCAGTCAACAAACACATGAGAAAATGTTCCTGATCATTAATCATTAGAGAGATGCAAATCAAAACAACAATGAGATATCGTCTCACTCTAATAGCAAAGTTCAACAAGTCAGAAAGTAAAATGCTGGCGAGGTTGTGGAGAGACTGGAACTCTTGTACACTGCTGGTGGGATTGTAAAATGGTACAACCATTGTGGCAAACGGTATGGCATTTCCTTAAAAAACTGAAAATAGAAGTACCATTTGACCCAGCAATTCCATTACTAGGAGTATATCCTAAAGAGGTGAGAGATAGTGCATGAACAGACATATGCACACCTATGTTCACTGCAGCACAATTCACCAAAGCAAAGAGATGGGAACAATCTAAATGTCCATCAACGGATGAGTGGATAACCAAATTATGGTACATGCACACAATGGAATACTATCCCACATTAAAGAACAATGAGGGACACATGAATCATCTCGCAACGTGGACGAACCTGGAGGACATCATGCTGAGTGAAATAAGTCAATCACAGAAGGACAAATACTGTTTTCTTGGGAAAGGGAACTCACCTAGTATGTTATCAGGATGGAGAGGGAAAGGGAAGGATTAATTTTGGACTAGTTGGGGCCTAGAGGCTGACATGGGTATGGGGGAGGGATATATGGGAAGGATATATGACCACCATGATAACATTAGGAAATGGGAGGACACTGAATCGTGCACATAAGAGATAGATGACAGATGCTAATACCAACCAATAGGTCCACAATACCACGTTGCCATTAACACCAAACACTAGGCTATAGAGATAAACACATAAACATCTGAGATGATCAGATGGGGGTCAATGAACAGAAGTATACGCTAGACCAAGGATAGATTCAGCTGAGACTAATGTTGCACAGACACCAGTGATACAAAATACCTGTAGCCCTTACAGAAACAATAGAAGACAGACACAGAGTAATCCCTCACAGACAACCAGACACTATGGAGAGAGATCCAATAGATGTACTGTCTCAAGAACATAGTACTGGGGGACACCAGACTCAACTGGCACAACAAAATACATAAAAGCATTGCTCCAGATCCTACATCGGTGAGTAGCGACTGGGGTCTTAAAAGCTTTCAAGTGGCCATCTAAGATGCGGCTAATGGTTTCCTAGCGTGGAAAGTGAAGAACAATGCAAAAAAAAAAAAAAAAAAAGAGCATTTAGAAGCAATCAGCCCTAGGACAGGAAAAAAAAACACTGCTGTCAAATTGATTCCAGCTCATAGTGACCCTGTAGGACAGAGTAGAACTGCCCCCATAGGGTTTCTGTTTTGGTTATTCTCTTACAGTTTATTCTCTTACAGTTTGGAGGGTTTAAGTCCGAGTCCAAAGTGCTAGGCTCTAGGAGCTGGGTGAAAGCCCCTCAACCTTGGGCTTCAGCTCTGCCTCCGGTTCCCGGCCCACTGGAGCTAGAGGCTTTTTTTCACTCAGACAGCTGCTGGCTGCTGAGACTGACAAATCCAAGGTTGACAAGTAAAAGGTTGTCTGTTCCTGATGTTACCAAATCACACGGCAGGCCATTAATTTAAGTCCATTGAAAGTCCCAAGGTCGGCAGAGCATGGCAGGCAGTTGAACAATGACATGGCTAAATGCAGGGTCCAAGCATGCCATAAGCTAGAGACTATCCCCAAGGCTTCTCCTTATATACAGGAAGCAGACCACTTCCCAAAGGCAGCCACTCAGCTGCTTGTGGTAGATCCCACCATGGAGTTGATTGCCAGTCTCATCATGGGGAATAACTACCACAAGCTGCCCAGCCAAGTTGACATACAAATTTAACTACCACACCCCTCATGGAAGAAGGGAGGTCGCTTGCATGATCATGTCTCTCCCACTGCCCAACGTTAGGGACTGTGCTATTTTACTTGGTACCACCAGTGCTGAGCACAGTGCCTGGCACGGAAGCACCACCATGAATGTTCACTGAAGTGTTAAGAGATGTC